CCATTGATTGCCCAGTGCTGCTGCGAACCTCCACATTAATGGCTACATTCCACCGTGGGTTGGGAAGGTTCTCCGCCACAAAAACAGTCAGTGTTGTGGAAATTGCATACCTCTCCAGCTTCCAATGGTTACTCATAGGAGCTCCCTGTGTACTCAGACTCTGGCGCCATGGAGACATACCCACCCGCTCATCGATCATCTTTTTCAGAGTGAAAACTGTGTCGACGGTTGATATCTCAATGGAAAACACACCGTACACTGTGTGAGCAGTGACTGTGATGATCCGAGGGCTAAGCTTCCCGTGGAGTATCATTTCCACTTCATCATCATCCTCCTCGTTAATACCCAGATCAGTTAAAGGCATCCTTACATCTGCTAGCAGCCTTCCGTTGTATAATAGGAGTTGATCTACGTAGGGTACAAGAAACTGGAGATACTTGCGTATGTCTCTGACTAATTTGCAGCTCTGCTCGACTGTGTATATCCTGTCGTCGTGTTTCACTTTGATGACCACCATTGCCGAGTTATATCAGAGACTGGATGGAATTGATAAAGCCTGAACTAATACTGGAGAGATATTGTTCCAGGTAGAGCTCACTGACTTGAGTTCAGTGAAGTGGCTCTAAGACCGGATTGAAAGGCTACTTATAAAGTGATTTGTCACACTTATTGAGCATAATTTACATAAAACTACCATGATAATTAGATTCCCTGTTTCCCCAATTTCTGCGTGAGGGAGTGTGAAGTGTGATTAACTGATTATCAGATATATCAGATATCAAATACTAAAAAAAATACGAAACAATGGAAGCTACGCTTGATATCAGATATCAGATATCAAACCCAACTAACTTTATTGTTTTTCTTGTTTTGGGGAAATTTGAGAATAGTTCCTGTACTTTGGGCTAGTGCCATTTTCGTCTCTGAAATTTTAAAAGGCAACAACTCAAAACTTGAACTTTCAGAACATGTCACTGTCATTACCAATCCATTAACCAACTGTTAAGTGGCATGACCTTTGAGTGTTATCTAATTTTCTTTATCAACCATCCACATGTTGATAAAGAATGAACAGTCTCAAATCCTTACCTCTTATATTCAAGAAAGTTAGGGTTACATCTCAGTGAGTATTCTGGTRATCCCAACTTTCTTGGACAGAAGAGGCAATAAGAATTTGGGACTGTTTATTTTTTATCAATGTTTGGATGATTGATAAAGAGAATTAGATGGCACTTGAAGGGTATTTGTGTCTTTTCAAATGACACTTAATGGCTGATTAATAGACTGCTTAATGGCAGATACTAGATTGTCATGTTTTGAAAGTCCAGGGATTAAATTGTCATGTTTTAAAATTTGGAGACCAAAGTGACACTAGATCCAAAATCCAGGATACTAATATAAAATTTTAAAATGATAAACCCGAATAATTTTTTGCTTTTTTTTCCTTCTTTTCTCCCAACAACATCCAACTATATTTGATCAGGAAATAATGGGTATGAATCCCTGTTGCTTTGGGCTGGATCGAGGTAGGTATACCTGTATTGACCCAAATGCTATTGGGTTGGATTTGTTTGGGTCTATTGGGATTGCCAGTTGCCACGGCCCACGGGCCTTTGGCAGTCCTATCTTAATTTCCTTACCCTTCTAAAGTTGGCCTTTGGTGGATCTAGGGCCCAGTAACTTGCCAACTGCCATCAAATGGATCATACTAAGAAGATAAATTGGGCCAAGTTTTGATTTGGATCTAGGGATTAGGGACGTCAGTAAGTCAGCTTAAGAGGTAACCCACATTGACCCGACCCTATCAGGTTAGGATCAGATCAGCCTCAATTGGGTTTTGTATTGGTGGTTCTGTCGAGGTGAGTTCGTGCCAGATCCCCATCCATTGCCACTGCAGCATTGAACTACATGTATATATAGGCTTGGTTAAGTATTGGAATATTATATACGGAACGGGTCAGGTTGGGTTTGACATTGAATTGCTCCTGAGTCCAGACAGCTAGCTAGCTCACAGCCACATCCCATGGTGTATAGTTAGGTGCTTTCGATCGGATTCAGATTGTACCAAAGATGGACAGGTGACAGGTGATAAGTCATGGTGCCTCAGACCCAATATACGATTCCTGATTTCCTTTCTCCATAGATCGATATAATGAGGATTGGGGCCATGTTTGGCAGTGTTTAAAAATAAGTGAAGCACTTATTTTAGGTCAAGACCATATCAATAAATACTTAGTATTTGAGAAATAAGTGTTTATTTTGAAATAAGCACTTATTCGATAAGTACTAAATTTGAGCTTATTTTTAAGTATTTATACAATAAGCATTTATTCTAATTTTATACCTTTCACCTCCTCTCCCTCGACCTTTGCCATGTCCTAAGCCAGATTTCATGACTGACTGACAAAGAGACCATGTAAATCATATGTTCTGGTAGTAAAAGATTCAAAGTGAGTTTCAAGCTAAGTCTTGAAAAGATGTACAATATGATGTCTTCTTCGGAAACAGGAGCTTGTATAGCCGCGAGCATGTCAAAGAGAGCTCTAGCTTTTTGAAATTTATTTTGAGATTGATGATGTTTTCTTCTTCAAGTTTTGCAATTGGAGACATAATTACAAGACTGACTCTGACTCTTGCTTGTGATGTTGAAGAGAACGATCAAGCAAGAGTAGTTATAGATCAAACAGCATATGAAGTGTTGAGGTCGATTACTAGTGACAAGATGCCTTCAGTCAGAGAAGAAAATAAAATAACTGAATACCCATTGATCTAAACAAACCCATTTTTCATGTTCCGAATTGGATATCTTCTCACTGCTATCATCTGGATTTGTAATTTCTGTTGGTGGACACTTTGATCTTCCCTTTAGCAATATCTTGCAAGCCATAAGTTCTAAAATAGGAATAAATTGTGAGCACCATAACATATGATTTTCTTTAATTAATTTGATAGGAATAAAAGGGGTCATGCTTAGCAAACCAAATTACTTTGTGGATGCCTATAATGTAAATGTAATATTATTAATTTATAAATTTTGATTGACTAATGTCCCTTATTAAAAGAAAAAAAAATATACTAATTTAAATAAAATAAAAAAATATATTTATAAATAAATAAATAACATATATACATATATATAAGTATACAATATATATTGGATCGGATAGGGGGTGATCCAAATCCGATCCAATCCAAAGATCTAAACAGAGGTGATCTGAATTCGGCCTAATAAGATGAGATCAAAGATCAGATCGGATCATCCGATCCATTTGACCCCCTAGGATTACCCCCTGTTGTATAGCCCCTGCAGGGAGGAAAAAAAACAATTATGATATCAAAGATGTGTCTAGACTTTTAATTATTTAATTATTAATATCATGAGTTAACCATTTGACCCAACATAAAAAATGGTTTCATTTGTATGTCAAATTTAAAAATGTAGCTCCATTTCCATTATCAATAACCGGAAGGTATTGTTAGGAAGATAGAGGGAGGGGTGACCGGGCCTGTGTAGTCTTGAGTAGAAAAAAAGGGGTTTGGCTTCAGTCAGGGCAAAACTTGTTAGAGCAGTCTTTACTGCCTTGCATTAAGAATATCTCACTATTTAATATGCTTTATTTTATAGGGAGATATTCCCAATGCAAGATTGCAAAATATTGTTGGAACGATGTGGGCACGGGTTTGCCCTATGGAAGCCAATCTCAGAAAAAAAGACCTAAAGGTAGCGAAATCTTTGGAATTACATTTATATGGAGGGGAGATGATTCGGAGATATGAGGCAAAAGCAGAAGAAGCACGAGCAAAAGCAGGGTTGACAGCAATGAAGAAGAGTTACCAAGTTAGTGATTCAAAAAATATAAGCGGATTCGGATTTTAATAAGATCAGATGGGTCAAATCTGATCTGATTATTAATCAAATGTTGATTGTAAGATTCGAATCCGATTCGATTACAGAAATGCATAATTTAATCAAACCGGGAGTCTGAATTTTTGGATTTCATTGACAGGTTTAATACGTCTTTAACTTCAAAATATATATTTTTTTCTTTTTTCTGTCAGCTATCGTCCAATTGGTCTCCAATCATCCGGTATTTATTCAGATTCACTTGGGCTTTTGAGTGGCATCTCCAAGGGAAAGGTCAAAAACAGGCCAGAGCCCATCCAAAATTGAACTCAAATGTGTTAAAAGGACAGCCCGACCCAACGCATAGCCCTAACTCCAGATCTCCGCAAAAGTGGCGCCATCTTGACCACAGATGTTGTTTCTGTTTCTGTTTTAGAATAATAAAATCACACATTGGTGAACGGGAATAATCTCCAATGTTGGATTTGGAATTTAACAATAGATCTAGTTAGGTTATTGCAAAATGTTGTACATATTTATTGTCATCATCATCTAAACTTTATTCCAACTATATGATCTTGGCTATCTTTCTGTGTAATTTCACATTAGTTGTTAAATTATGAACCCTTGATCATTTTTTACTACTTTGATTTGTATCTTTTTGGGTCTACTTCTACCCTTTTAGTGTCTAACTTGTGGCAGATCACTTTGTCTTATAGTATTATTGATGGTATTCATTTTTCAATCACCTGATCAAACCATTTTAGTCAATTTTCTCATTTTATCACTTTGGGTCATTCCTAGTTCCTCCAAACGAATTCGTTTCTAACTTCAGAATTCATAATATCTTAAGGCTATGTTTGGTTTGAAGAAAAAAAATAGGAAAAGAAAAAGAAAAGTAAGAAAACCTTACAAATCTTGTATAGGTTTTCTTACCTTTCCCTTTCTTTCCCTACCTTTTTCCTTCAAACTAAACATAGCCTAAAAGTATCCAGGAAAGAAATTGCAGAACATAATATTAAACCAACTAATGCATGCCCTGGGTCTTATGTTTGTACAGGAAGCTCCAAGCTTTATTTTTGTATTGAACCGGTCCTAATACTGAGTAGAGAATGGCTTCATGGGCAATCATCAAAATTGTAACATTTTGACATAGTTAATCAAAAGCAGCCCCAAAAGAATTTTATATTGCACTTATTTTTTCAAAGTATACAAAACTGAAACTGAACACATTTTTGCATGCGGAGAGAAAAGAGTTGGGACCCATCGGCATTTTGAGATGTCAAACCCACCTAAAACCTGTAAAAATTCTAGTCCTGTATTCTGGAAACATAAAAAAGAACATTCTCGAATCAAGCAACGACCGTCAATATTCTAATCCCTGCACCACAAGCCGCAATCTCTGAAATTGGGAGATTGATATACAAACGTCAACATGACGTTTGACAGCCATCCGTTGACAATGGTGAACCAAATTGTACCTTTTATTTCATTAGATATCAATCAACCAATTGATCAGTGGCACACAGGAAGAAGGAGATCAACTCAAGTCATAATATCATATATTTACAACAACAAACAGGTAAGGAGAACAAGGTCATACCCAACTGCTTGAAAGCGAAAAATCATGGAACCTGAAAGATAATTCACCAGCTGTGTCTCTCTCAAACCTGGGCTCTGGTCCTTCACCAATACGTGGTGACTGTGGCAGTGGAACTTCAGGTGGTAAAGGTAGTATTTGGCTATCGTTGCTAGGACGTGGTAACTGAATTTCAGCTGGTAGGGGCATGACTGGCACCGGATTGGCCCTAAACCTGGCAATACCTCCACTCTGAGAAGCCAATGCCCGATCCCACATCAACACATGAATGAGAATCGGCCTCAAAGCATGGCGGTGCAATGATAGCTTCTGGCTGAGTGAGACAGTGTCGTAGCACCGGATAGCTCCTGTCGATGACACCATCCAAGGAAGAACCTTCTGGTTGGATACTCTTGAGACCACCAGAAGCTTACAAGCTCTAGTAGCCTCTTTGTACAGATCTCTAAGTCCTGATCGAGTTGAGGCAACGTCCTCTTCACCATCCATTACAGACGAAATGTAAATGAAGCCCTGTCCATCGAAGAAGAAATATAAGTAAAACCCAAATAAAAGAATTTTGCTTATGAAGAGAAAATTCGCCGTGAGGGTGATTGAAGTAACCTCTTCTGTTCGACTTATGGCAAATCCGAGCTTTGTGTCTCCTTCCCTTAATTGGATCTCCAACGCAAACTCTCCACCAATGGGAGCATACCAGAGACGAACTGCTCTCACCACACCAATGTCAACCCCATGGTAATCTTCAAAACCATAGAGGCTCACATTTGCAAGGTTCGATAGGTCAGATAAAGATCCAGCATTGACAGTGGATGAAGCTGTTTCCCCCGATATCTGCTCAATCACGAGTACACCACAAAGCATTAGGATAGCAGCAAATAAGATCTTATGCTAGAAATCCAGGAAGAAATAATCTACACTTGTGACCATTCAGGAATCAGGAATTTACCTTGGTAAGAAGAGACTCTGTCTGTATATTCATGAACACAATGGGTACTCCAGTGGCCTGTGACGCATTAAGCCAAGCGTTGGCCCTGGAAAGTGTGTCCTCCAGGTCATTGTACCGAGAAGAAACCCTGTCAGAGGCCTTGGGAAGAAGGAGCAGAGACAAAAAGCAGCTTGAATTGTGCACAGGGAGTACTTCCTGCATCCTCTTCTCCCACGGATATGATACGTATCCATCTTGAAGCTGAGCTCTGTTTAGTGCATACATCACCCTGGAGCTTCTTGATCCTGTGCACCCACAATTTTTTTTTCACATTTTTGAAAAGTCTATTTTCATATTAATTAGTTTATATGCGAAACTTTGATGAAATCTATTTTGAATGCAGTAGTGACTACCTAATTTATGGTTCTAACTTCTAAATTTTGATGAAATTTTGTGAAATTTCACATTTAAGGACGCGAAATGGGGGAACATTTGGGTGTATTTATTTTGGCCGAGATTCCATGCAAAGCTTCAGATATAATATTAAAATTAATAGAGATCAATAATTAATAATATAAATATTTAAGCAACCAAATACCACCAAACAGACAAACAACAGTTCCAGAAAAGATTGTATTCATATAACTGAAATCATATCAGCCCAAGAGATAAATAGGAATTATAGTCATCTTTCTATAGGCCATGGAAAAGCATATGGCTTAGGCTCACACTCCAAATGTATTCAAGCAGAACTTTATTAGATGAGTACAACTTAGTACCAAAAGAAAAAGAAAAAAGATGAGCAACTGAATTGGATGCGAAAGCCTTCCAATCCTCGTGCTTGTACACCAGTGATCAGCATAGACCCAAAATGTTTGGATGCAGTTGTCAGTTGAACAAAAAGAAACAACTCGTATCAAACCATTTCAGCACCCTCAATCCCTTTCCAAAGAGGCCCATGGTTTAAACTATCAATACCATATATATGGTTGAATAAAAACTATCAATACCACATGCTTGATATAGGACCATATCCATTTCCAAAGAGACCAGTTGAATAGTTGATGCCCATTCTTTCCACCTGTGCCTGTCAGTAGCAGAACGATTGATGTTTGCTGGTTTCACTTTTACAACATATTTTCTCACTTCTAAACCTCCTATTTTTAATTTATCAGAGATGCTTGTGGGAAGGTTTCTATCTATGAAAACACTTGAGTTCTCGCAATGAAAGGGAAGAAAACTCATCGGAAGAAAGAAGAAGAATGCTTTTTTTTTTGTTTAGTCCTTAAATATAATTTTATTTTAAATAACTTTCATGGTAGGAACGAATTATAAAATGGATCTATGAATTATCTATCAAATCTCTTGATTCATCAACGTTTATGCCAAAAAGTGTTTTTTTTTCTATTATTAATTTATAGAAATAAAATAGTAGAATCAAAATAATTATTTTAGTACTTAAGTTTATGGATTGCATATGATATTAATATGAATCTTAGAAATTTTAATGGATCTGATATAGTTTTGTAAATTAAGTAAGATTCAATGTTCATTAAATTACTAAATTGTTTATTTTTAAAAAAGTAACCACATATTTATTATTTATAGAAATAAAAATATTAAAATCTTAATTTATATTTGCAGTTTAATTTTAAGAAGTTATGTAACCATTACTTAGCATATTAATAATTTAAGATTAAATTGGCTTTTCTTCTGTAATACACAAGTAAAAATGATAAAGTGGAGAATAATTGATTTAGCAATCAAAACGTTATGATAGCTTATGAATTTTGTTTGGAAACTTATATTTACGGATCTTCGACATGTAGTTTTAGATTGTCTTGGACTCTTGGATGATGCATCTACAATAAAGTTATTGTCTCATATCTAGATGTTCTGATATGTTTATTGTATTGTATTTCTTCTTGAAGTATCTGTTTTAGTTTTTTCCTCGTTCAACGTGCATCCTTATCCTTCTCACCTTACCAGTACACTTTGGTATGCTTATATTTTGAACCTTGTTCCCATCCTTTCTTCATGTCAAGCTAAAAATCAAATAACACAACAAAAGATCTGAATGGTTTTTCAAGTTAGATTTGAATTACAATGATAAAATCTTATGAGATGTTTTAAGTGTAAATGCTTGTTTGTTCACTTTCAAAAAAAAAGAACAAAAAGAACTTTCTAAATTGCAACTTCTGTTGGATTTCCTGAATGGTTGAGCTGCCCAGTTTTGTGTTCTAGCTATTTGCAATCATTTCAAGAACCAGAACAATTTTTTTTTCTTGTTTATTTTTTTGTTTTTTTGTTTTTTTTTCTTTTGAAACAAGCCCTTAATTCATTGCATCAAAGCATCCATAACTACAAGCCTGAGAAAGTAAACTAGTAACCCTTTATGCCTCTCCTTCAATGTATCATGTCTATTTGAATGATACTCAAATCTCGATTCTGGAGCCATTCGGTGACTCTCATGGAATAACTCAAGCTTCAATATATTCTGAAAGCAAAATTATCATTCAATCAAAACAACTAAGTATAGAGGTTGGACAAAGGGGGATCCCAAAGCAAACAAGTTCCTCCTAAAGAATTAGGGCCGCAAATGGATTAAATCGAATCGAATATTGGTATACCTAAAATTTGAATCATTTACAGCACCAAATCAAATGCAGTCAGGGGTTAGAAATGCAGGTACTTCTATTTTCCTTTTGTTTTCTAGTCCTTGACGATTGGGAATTTTGAAGGCTAAAAATCAAATGCAAAGCTCATGATTGTAATTTCTGCGATGAGAAAATCTATGCTGCTGAAAAGATACGATACCGAAAGGGTTTTGACCAACTGAACCTGATGTTGCCAGTTGATTGATTATAAGTTTTTCGGTACCATGTCTTTCCGTCAGTCGAATCCCTGTATGTGTTCATTGGTTACAACTTACAAGTTTTTCCGCGGTATCATGGTCGAAGTCGAAGTGTCGAACCCGTGAGGGCTGTGACCGTGAGTGATAAATCAACAACTCTAGGGATGTTATCGTAAATTCATATGTCCTCGCACGTGTAAAAAGAACACGTTGGCAAGTGACGGAAGTGAAGAGGACATTCACCCGTGCAATTAAAGTACGCGGGAGACTCAAAAAGTCAAAGGTCTTACCTTGCAACTCCAGGCACTCGATTTCCGTCCGGTCGGCAAACCCGACGGCGTAGTTAGGATCCCCGATCGACCGAAGCATGTACTGTTTCCTCCCGGCCGATTCGTTCGGAACGATGCAAGCCTGCAACTCGATGAACTCGTCCGTCCCTCGACGGACTCGAACTTGAATCGACGTCACCTTCTTCTTGAAGGAATCGTGCAGTAGCCTCTGCACACCGCTCTTGCCGTTCTTGAACGGAGATCTGACACACATATAGCTCCCGATCTTGAGCTCCTCCACGATATCGCCCGTCTGGAGCAAGTTCCCGTTCCATTCGTCGGCATTCGAGCTCCCTTTCAAGCATTCAATCGCCACCGCCGCTCCCCCTCTCCCTGCCGCTTCCGCGTTCTCGGATCTCTGATTTCGATCCATGGTCATCTTCTTTGCTTCTTCATCAATTTACTCGAACTCGAAGCATCAAAGATCAAACCTCCTCTTTCTCTCATCTCAACAATCTCATCTCCATTCCGACAGAAACACAGACACACGAAGCCCGACTTTTATATAAAAGACTAGAATGGCAGAATTCCTCTCATTCAAGAAATAAATTCCACGGATCCCTCAAAATCTTTTCTTCTGAATAGAGTGGACAAAATCGTTGAAGATCAAATGGATTAACAGGAGAAAAGCCCCTGAGATTTATAATTCCTCTGAAAACCAATTTCCAGCTTCCACGAATCTACAGAAGAGAAAGAATCCTCAGTTCTCACATCAGCGGTTTGAAGATTCTGAAAAGAAAGCTTGTGGGATTCTAATTTCGCCAAGAATCCCAAATTTATACAAATGAAGCAGAGATACAAAAATAAAAAAATCAACGGAAAAAAAAAACAAGAATTCAGTAATCAGTTGCGTACGCGGATTAGTTGAATGATCTTGGCTCAGCCATGGAAAAAACAGAGAAGCGTTCAAAAATAAAGAGTATTTTTTCCGTCCGCGGTGCTTTTGCTGTTGCCACCTCTCGTTCCATCGCTTCGACTTCATTGATAAATCCGTATCGTCGGATTGGAATAAGTTTCCGAACCCGGTTCAGGTGTTTGAAATCGTGATTCAAGGCTTGAGAAAGTTGGTGGGTGGGGGGTATTAATTAATAATTACACTATTAATTAAGATAAATAAATAGGCGTTTACAACTTTAGTTTATATGCGTGGACCCACACAAATCTATATCCAGAGAAGATCTTCATCTCACGCTCTCAGCCATTGGATTAACACTAAGAATTGTCATATTAGATTGCGTTGGATCATTGCTTCAACACCAGGGGCGGAGTCAGGGGGACCCACCCATTTGGTTCAGAAATCCTCACTTGAAATTCAGTCTTATACGTAAATTTCCCCATTTCTCACCCCAATGGTTGGCCCCTGTGATTCTGTGAGTCCATTCATATTTAATTTTCTCCCTCCAAATCTGTTTAAGTTTTGGCCCTCATGGAAAATTCTTGGCTCTACTCCTGTTTAACACCGTTGGATCAGGATTAATGAGGAGCTGTTCCTGTTCAACACCGTTGGATCAGGATTAATGAGGATAAGAAGGTGAATATGGGTGTCAACTGTCAAGCGGTTGCTAATCCAAGGTTTAAGTGACCCTAATTGGTGAGTCCTTGTTCTTGGACCAGTTGACTGGCACGTGCAAATACACGTGAGGCAGATTTTTGTCATCAAAATTTCAATGCTATTGAATGCCTTCTATTTAATTTATTTAATATATACTCTAATACTAATACATAATAGTCAATTGTATTGATTCTATCAATCTTTTAAAAATGACCCAGAGGTTTGAACTGTTTTTGTCTTCGAGTCGTGGATCATTGGTTCGACCATGCAAGTTGAACAGGTCAGATCATTTCATGTTAATATTTTACATATTTAATGCATTAATTTATAAATACGCACATATATATATATATATATAATTTATATTTTTATATAAATTATATTCCCCATGTAATATGTGTATTATTTTATATGTAATTTATATTTTTTATTTTAGTTCTAATTTTTTATTTGTAAAAAATAACACGACAAGGCACCTATGTCACCTTGGAATGCATAGATCTCGAAAAATTATCCAAAATAAAATAAATAAATAAATACCTCAATTGGGCATCATGCGCAATATTATGGCTTCCGAAAGTTTGCATACATATTTATTATACAGCTTGTGGCTCACCCACCGAGTTGAATGAATCAACAATCCAATTGGCTAGGTCGGACGGTTTTTGACAAAATTTCGGATTTTATTAGAACTAAATCTAGAATCATGGTTGAGTGATGGTTCAAACAGTTCAGTGCAATCGGGTGAACGACAAATTGAAAACACTGGATTCTTTTGTAATTTAAAGTTTATAGTTAAATGTTTGTAATAAATTATTTTACACTATTTCTTTTTCTTTTTAAATTAAAATGTTATAGACAAAAGTCACAAAACATTGATCCAAAATTGAACAGTTTGCCTAAATGATTTGTAGGGGCGTTCACGTTTCAGTCTAATTTAGAGAAAATCTCAGAATAAATCAACAAAGTATTATATAAATAATTCTCAGACCAAAAACCATTTAATTCGGTTTTTAATACATTTTGAGTCATTCTATTGGACTTATTCCAATCATGATTTTTATATTGTAACAACAATATATGAGAGTTTTCTGTTTTCATTTTTTTCTTTCTTTAACTAGAGTAGGGCTTTTCTACTTAATGGTCCCTTGCTATTCTAAATCTAATAACCATATATATACATACAGTTCGGCCCAATTCATTTCTTTTTTTGTTTTTGAAATACATTTTTATTAATTTATTAATTTGTGCTCTAAGAAGCTCATATAAATTGGATTACTTGAAGCTTAATTATATGTTTATATCCTTTAATATATTTACATTATTTTAATATTTTCCCATATTTTATAATTTATATCCCCATTTGGTAGGAGCCTCATGCACTGGGCTGCTCATTTTCTTTCCTTTATCTAACCAACTTCTACATATGTAGCAAATAAGCAGTAGAACTTTGAAAATTATTCTAATATTCACCATTTTGTGGTATCTTTTTGAGCTTTCTTCTATTTTTTCACCTAAACTTCTTAACTGATTTCATGTTGAGTTGTGAGTTAATTCTTGACCAAGTCACTATTACTCAGTTTTGCAAAATTAGAGCCTACTGAGCCACTGGTCAACTCAGTACTATTCCATCTTAACTTTTGTTTTTTTGTTTTTTTTTTTTTTTGACAATTATTCCTAACTTGGTCTTCTGACAGCCTAAGGGAGGACTTCAGGCAGCGGCTTATGGCTTTTGGTAGAGATGRGCCTAACAAGGATAGCCTATAAGTCATGTTTGGTGAATAACCCATAAAACTCAACTATGATGTCTTTCACCAAACAATTAGTATGAATTTTTCAAAGTGGCTCAATAAAAACTTTAGAGCCCGTTTGGGAGGATTTTGCGTTTGGGGTGCATTGTGTTATCGGTGTTTTGGAAAAGATACTTAAATAGTTTCATATTTGAGCAATGGTTTAAGCATCCAGAAAGTTTATATTGACTTTCTGGAATTTTACTAAATACCTCCTAAAGGTAAGGGTATTCATTATACAATTCAAAATTTATACTTGTGAACAATTTGGTTCGATTTCAAAATTTTCTAAATGGCGGTTTATGGGTTCGGTTTAGTTTATTGAATTTTATAAACTGAACCAGACCGTAAACTGTAAACCAAAATTATATATATATATATATATATATATAATATGAATATATGATATATAAATATTATATATAATATATCTAAATGGAATGCGTGAAATTATAAATATATAATGAACTCTTCATTTTATAATAAAATAATAAATAAAAGTTTTAAGTTTTAATTTTTAGGAGAGTTATTTGGGCTTTCTAATTGGGTTAAGCCCAAAAGAACCATAGAATGATCCAATCCCCAAACCATATTAGAAACCACATCAAAATATAATAAAACAGTTTGATTTGGTTTGGTTTCCATACCAAAACAGTTTGATTTAATTTAGAAATTTCTCAAACCGTAATTTATTGGTTTAGTCTGAGATCTTCTCCAAACAACACCGAACTAGACCATGAACACCCCTACTTAAAGGGGCACTTAATCTTCATAAGCTTTAAAATTTCTGAAATTTAAAACCTTGATTGTCATAAACTCCCTTAGGCTGTGTTTGGTTTGAAAGAAAAAATGAAGAAAGGAAAAGAAAAGTAGGAAAAGCTATACAAGATTTGTACCTCTTCCTTCAAACCAGCACTTGCTTTTTGATGATGTTCTGGACACGATCGATGTCAATTTAATGAAATCAAATTTTTTTATTATTTTTTAACATTTTTGTATACTCATTGGCGTCAACAGTGTGACGTAAGGAAATAAAAGAGGATGATGAGTGAATGACGTCTGTACTAATTAATTAAGGAGGAATTAATTAGTTATCCCTCCTTAGGAAATAGAATTAATTAAGCATCCCTTGGATATATGCATACGCCCGTGAACCGCCAAGCTTTCATTTAATGTCTAAACAGAGAAAGTTGGTTTGGTTTAATGTGTTTTAAATAATTTTAAGGGGGCGTTTTTTTTAGGATTTTTAAGAGGGGAAAATTTGGTCAATCAGATTTTGGTTCTCATTGATCAAGAATTTTATATTATTTTTTTAGATTTATGTGGGGATTAGGTAAAGTTTATTTTTTTGGGTATCACTTATCCACTTAAGTGATATCCATCTCTTAGGTGGATAAATAACTTTCCCACTGACGGAAAAAGTTATAAACATTTGAATGGAACAAAAATGCCCTTTTTAATAATGAATTTTTATAGTTAAAATGGGCATTGTCTTATTAACATGAGAAATAAAAGAACTTRGATAAATGTACCTATTCGGATAACTGTTTCTCAARAAAAAMTTACCCAAATAACTRCATTTACCTGAACAAATAACTTACTGAAAAATGAAAGGGGCCTAAAAGTTCTCACATATATTATTAAGTATGTAACAAATGGTATGAAGGCCTATCACCATGTTTTAAAGTTTCAATTATGAAGGAGAGTATATAGGAAGATGGGTATCTAGAACAAAGTGAGAATTACAAAAAAAGGGCCATAGGAAAAGGGCTATTTGGATTTTGGATWAAAATACAAACTGTCAGAGGAAAAGGGCTATCTATTATCAGAGTGAGAGCCGTCATGGAGAGGACTATCTATCAGTTGCCGCTTTATTGAGAATTGACCCAAAATGAAGCTATCAAGACATTGGCTACATAAGTTTGGGTATATTTCCTAAAGGTTAACCATGCAGCTTGACATATTGGTCATGCTTTAGGGAGAGATCATTTATAGTAAGTACTTATTACTTAGGTACAACTGAGTTAACTTTAGAGTTTGAAACTGGACTGACCATAACTTGTTTCCATCTCCAAATTAATGAGTTAGAATGTTTAGGTCTAAAGGAGCTTTCCAAGAATATCCGAGAGATAAATGGGATTTGTTCCTCAAATCCACCTTATAGCTCTTGCAGTTATACATTGGAAACATCTTCCCATGAATAAAAATATATAAATACGGATATATTTATGATGTGCAGATTTTGTGGACTTGTGGACCAAATCAGACCATCTAGAGAGATCAAGACAATCTCCTACTGACATTAATGGTATTTATTATGTTTAACTAATTAGTCAGTCAATGATACTAGCCAATAACCCAATAGCTGAGATAGTCACTTGGTACCCTTACATAAATAAGGTGTGTTACCAAATTTTTGTAATTGGAGTCTYTCCATGGTAAGGTATGGGTGTAGGATCTGCTACAAACAGCACCTGGACAACAAGTTATG